ACCACCCTCGACGGTGGTGCAGCTAGGGGGTATACAAGGGTCCCCGCAGTGGAGCAGTCGGTTGCGATGCAGTTGTGTCCAAGTACTGCATCCACCCGGCAGGGCGAACCGTGTATACCCTCCCGGGTCTGTAGGTACTCGTCTGGCCTGTCTGGCGATGCTTATACGGCCTGTGGAGAAGCTGCCTCCGCCTTTTAACGCTAAGGCGTTACTGCAGGTTCATCAGGCCAAGGCACTGAGGGACCTGCACGAGGGTGGTCATGATCCGGAAGTTCTGAAAGAGCTCCGAACCACTACTGACCTCGCGCTCCGAGCGACGAAGGTCACTGCAATTACATTTGACTGAAATGCTTGTATTTAAACATTTTGCATTCTACCTATGATAAAACTTTCATGGACTTCTACATTAACTGTTCCCTCCTGGTGGAATGACCTGCCCAACTCAATCCAAGCAGCTGAGTCCTTAATATTTTCAAGAAACAGCTGAAAACACATCTCTTTCATCTTCATTTGACCCTCTAGCACTCTCCATTCTAATGCTACTTCTAATTTTATCTCCTTGTTTTTTTTTAATTAAAAAACTTTACCCTCTAACATTTGCACTCTCTATTCTATTTTTGACCCTTGTTTTATTTATAAAGAAAGAAGAGCCTCTAACACTAGCATTCTCTATTCTTTCTACTTATTTTCTTTTTATTTATTTATTTATTTATGTATTCTTTTTCTGTTCTATTGACTTGTTTTATTTTTATTTAAAATTTACCCTCTAACACTAGCATTCCCTATTCTTTTTCTATTCTTTCTACTTGTTTTCTTTTTATTTATTATAAAAACAAAATAAGCAAACAAACAAAAAAACTTGCTACATATACTGTTAGGCGAAGCGTCGCCCCTGTCCCCACCCACGAACCCCGCCCCCTACTGTCCTCTTTTTGAAAAACTAAAATATGGTCACCCTACATAAATAGCATTAAATATTTTAATAGCATTAAAGATCTTAAGTTTGTAAAGCTGTCAATACAAGTTAAGGCTGAAATGGTAGAGCTAATAATTATCAACATGATGTATTCTAGGAGAAAAGAAATTTAAAATGTCAATTTTATAGAGTTGAGACACCTTAGACATGGGACTTTACAGGGGTACAAGTGCATCTTAGCTTACCTTTTCTTTTTCATTTTTAAATCGTCCAACTTTTTCTTGATTTGTGCTGGTGTTACTTTACTGGACAGGTCCATTTTCTCCAGAATAAATCTATAATCATAAAAATAACATATGCATAACATGATAATTAAGAGTGAAAAACTCCTTACACATCCTTAGAAATAAGATTGTCCAATCTTAATCATTGGGTGGCCAATGTCAGTCCTGGAAAGCCACTGTTCTGCAGAGTTTAGCTCCAACCCTCATGAAACGCACCTGAACAAGCTAATTATGGTTTTAAGTAGGGATGCACCGATACCACTTTTTCCAGTACAAGAGATCATTTGCTACAGCCAAACAATCATGTTTCCTGAAGAAATCAAAGCCCTCCAGCAAGGTAAAACTGTGAAACGCAGTAGCGCTCTCTATAGGTTGTCACCAGTTTTACAAGACAGAATCCTAAGAGTAGGTGGAAGACTAAGCAGATCAGCTATGCCTGAGGAATCCAAGCATCCTGCAGTTTTGTCAAAGGACCACCATGCATCACATCTGATCTTAAGAGCAATACATATAAATATAGGTCATAGCGGCCGTAATCACATGTTGTCAAAGTTGCGGGAGAAATACTGGATTCCAAAAGCGCAAACGGCCATCAGAAAAATGATTGTGTTTAAACGTTTAAGGAAATACGAGTTAAAGGAATTACAAGTGCAATATCATGGGATATAAGAACCAACTGGATTTTGTAATTTTGTGTTTTGATTAAACTCGCATTTTGTTACGGACGTTTGACTGACTGACTGACACTTTAAGTTAATCCAGTACTTTGCATCTACAGAGACTATTTAATTATGTGAAAAGAGCATCTGACTACGTAGAAAAAGCTGCTGCACATTGAAATAGACACTGAATGATATTTATTGAATATGTCAAATGTTTGTAAAGTCATGTAGCCTACACCCATGAACCTTTTATGCTTAAAGCTTTACCTGATTGAATTATGCTTTTATACTTCATTTTTAGCTTTTTGCCTGTGGGATACCATAAAAATTCATATTAGTTCAATAACTTACCATTCTTTACAGTTACAGTATCAAAAAATACAGAATACTAATGTAACATCAGACATTCCAATTCACTTTGTCAGTGGAGACAAAATGTCATATCTTTTGGGAGAGAAGGCAGCACAGTCATTATCTGAGTTAGATAGAGTTACACCAAGTTACACCATGTCTACACTGCATGAGTCTGATGTTGCGCATAACAACCTGAAGCTGTCTACAGTAAGGCGTCAAAGGTTCCAAATTAATTTGTCCTGTTGTCGAAATTTTTACTGTCTCTGACTGACAGTAATGGGTTCTATGTGGTTTTGAAGAGGCACTTACAACTTGTGTAGGCAAGGTGTTTCTTTACTTTAAAAAAAAAAAAAAAAGTTTGTACTACTTGTGTATTTCTGTTGCTTTAGTAACATGATGCTACTCCACAGTACTTTAGAAATAAAGCTCATTTGAATATAATTTAGACAAATTGTTTTACTTTGACAAAAGGTATGATTTTACAGATTTGTAACTGTTAAATATTTAATTTTATTTTGCTTTATGTATTTTTTTTTTTTATCTGTGCACTGTTTTTTTTTTTTTTTTTATTTTTTTCTGGGCACTTTTTTTTTTTTTTTTTTTTAACTTTGATCTGTTTTTTAACTGTAGTCTTTTTTTAACTGTAGTATTCGCCGACTTTTGAGGTTTGAATTGAGGATTGTCAGTTGCTTCAAGAAGCCTATGTTGGGCCGGATGCGTCTCACCTCTATGACGTGGTCAATGGCATCCTCCACCATCATGTCATGGTGAATCATCAGGTATGCCAGAAAAAGTGTGGCAGAACGACTGATACCCCTTTTGCAGTGCACCAACACCTTATCTGTGGAAATAAAAATAGAAAGACACTCAAAACAAAGTCATTCTCAGACAGCTTATCACTGTAGGACATAGTTGATAAATACTTGATAAATGACAAGTAAATAAATGATGTGTGTGTGTGTGTGTGTGTGTGCATCAGCTCTTACTCTCTGGGTTACTCAGGGCCTGGTGAATGAACTGTGCAGCTGGGAAGAAGTACTCGCTGACTTTAAACGAGCATTTGTCTACTGCAGGCACATCATAGTAATTGAGGCTCCTGCCTTGGTAATATGCCACTCCTGTATTGACCTTTCCTTTTAGGCTGTTCTTGCTTGGAATTTCAAACGAGATCTTCAAGCTCTTCTCCACTGCCGCAGCATTCAGGATGTGGGTAATACCCATCCCTTTCAGTTTGGCTCGGTTTCTTGCTGTCTCTCTGCACAAGAACACAACAGCTTAGATTAGTCTTTCACTAAAGGGGATTCACAATGTAAAATTATAAAACAGAGATATATATGACTGCTGTTTTGATTCCTGTTCATACTGTATGAATGTGTTGTAGACTTACTCATTTCCAATGAAGACACTGGGCCAGACCTCAGTGACAGGTGTGCAGTCCAATGTACATTCATCCAGGCGATCCTGAAGTTGAAGGAGGCTTTGAGAGACATGACTTTCTAACGCTGCAAGCTCTTTTGTCACTTGAGGTTCTGGTTTAGGTATGCTTGGACCTGGCTCACACAATGGTTCTGGAACAGGCTGTGCAACTGGCTCCTCTCCGTTTTTTGTTTTATCTGTGTTTATCTGTTTTCTTAGCTGTAGTTTCCGCTGTGTTACGAGGTTTGAATTGAGGGTTATCAGCTGCTTCAAGAAGTCCCTGTTTGGCCTGATCCATCTCTTGTCTATGACGTGGTCAATGGCATCCTCCAACAACATTTCATGGTGGATCATCAGGTATGCCAGAAAAAATGTGGCAGAGCGGCTGACACCATCTATGCAGTGCACTAACAACCTATCTGAGAAAAAAAGAAAGACATTCAAAACAAATTCATCCATACACAGTTTGTCACTGTAGGATAAATGATGGATGATAAAGTGTGTATGTGTGTCAGCTCTTACTTTCTGTGTTACTCAGGGCCTTGTGGATGAATTCTGACGCTGGGAATAAGTCCTTGCTGATGTCAAACCTGTGTTCATCCATTACAAGCACACCGTAGTAAGTGATGTTCATTTCTTGATAATATTCCGCCTTTGTATCGATCTTTCCTTGTAGATATTCCTTGTATGCTACAGTGTTCAGGATGTGAGTAATACCCATCTCCTTCAGTTTGACTCGGTCCATTGCTGTCTCTCTGCACAAGAACACAACAGCCTAGATTAGTCTTTCATTAAAAATTATTTACAGTGAAGAATTAAAAAACAACTCTTGACAATGAGAGAAATATAACTGCATAGTGTTTGATTCCTGTTCTTATGGTAGAAGTGTGTTGTAGACTTACTCATTTCCAATGAAGACACTGGGCCAGACCTCAGTGACAGGTGTCCATTGCACTCTACATTTGCACATGCGACGCTCCAGTTGGAAAATGTTTCGTGGGAAATTGTTGTGTAACATTGTTGTCACTTGAGTTTCTGGTTTCACATGAGGTTCAGGACCACTTGGACCTGCGACACACAACTGTTGTGCATCAACCAGATCCATTTCAGGTTCTGCTTCAGGATCTGGAACACATGATGGCTCTGGATCAGGCTGTGCTGGGATCCCAATCCGCTCCACTCTGTTTTTCTGGAAGGATTTTTTCACAGCCTTCCATCTTCTTTGGAAGAATCCACAGATTGTGTTGCTCCTCGTCACTTATTTTCAGATAAAAGAAAAAAAGCAAATAATAAGCTATTAGAAACAAACCACAGATTAAACATGAATAATTAGTCTAACTTGTAAGATTGTGCTAATGTTGTGCTGTTTGACATTGGTTACTTTATTTAACAGAGCCAACATGCAGTTGTTGCTCTGTGGTACACATTAGATTTGGTGTATTAATGGATGATTTAAATATTTAGATATCAATATGCATATACAAAATATGCATATAAGAAATATAACTACACGTATTCCATATTGTACCACATTTGTGTTTGCATCTCACTGTAATGTATTTCAAATGGTCTGTTGACATTCACCTTTTGATCTGGTCTTCTCATTGGTTGCGGGAGAAATATTCACGCCATTCCCATTCTCTGAGATGGTGCTGCTGATGTCAGCCTTCAGCTGCACATCTCTCTTTTGTGTGGACTCTGTTGTCACTTGAGTTTTTTGAGTTTCTGTTGTCACTTGAGGTTTAGGACCATTTGGGCCTGCAACACACAATTGCTCTTCATCAACCAGATCCACTTGAAGTTCTGCTTGAGGACCTGGGACACACGATGGCTCTGGATCAGGCTGTGCTGAGATCCCAATAGGCTCCACTCTGTTTTTCTGAAAGGGTTTTTTCACAGCCTTCCATGTTCTTCGGAAGAATGCAGAGGTTTTGTTGCTCTTCCTCACTATTTTCCGATAAAAGAAGAAAAACAAATAATAAGCTATTAGAAACACCTCTAACCACAGATTAAACATTAATAATTAGTCTAACATATTAGATATTGTGTGTTAATGAATCATTCATATGGCCCACCCCTAATTGAATGTGTCCTCTCCTTGCTGTATAAAAGTGTTCATTTTATTCTTAATGACCCCAAACTTTTGAACTGTTTACAAATCTTATTTAATAATGCTTTTTTTTAAATATAAAAATGACAAACTAATACAACAGTGTGAATGATTGAATTCTGTTTTATTGTTTATGCTGGTGGTGCAATGTTTTACCTTGACTTAAAATAATGATTTTTATTTAAAATCATTTAAATATATATATATATATATATATATATATATAAACTACACATATTCCAAATTTGACCAAATTTCAAATGGTCTGTTGACATTCACCTGTTGGGCTTGCCTTCTCATTGGTTGCAGGAGGAATATTCATGCCACCCTGATCATTTCCATTCTCTGAGATGGTGCTGCTGATGTCAGCCTTCAGCTGCATGTCTCTCTTTTGTGTGGACATGATATCTAATGTACTCTGTTTAGTTCTGTCAGATATTGTTGTCAAACTGTTTGTGATACACACTGTGAGTGAGACTACAGACAGTGTGTATAAACTGTATGTTTTTGTAAACACTGAAAATAGACTATCTAAATCTGGCGTCTGTAACGTTACACAGTATTCGTAGAATTTCGCTCAGACTCGCGCGTTGCTCTTTGCTCGGTGACTCTTCGCCTCGGCTCGGATTATCACTGAACTTCAGAGATGCTGCGAGTGCGCGGCTCCTTATAAGCAGCCTGTTCGATGACGTAATCAAATGGCTAGTCTCGTTGTAGTTCCACAGTTGCCATAGAAACGGTATGTTTACTACAAGCGGCCGGACATTATCACCGATTGCTCTAATGATCTCTCAGTGGTTGATTTCAAACACATTATTGCTTTACTTGGTTTACGCATATTTCTAAGAAAATGCATTTTACGCTGAATAACGTTATATTTAAAACGTTAATTATGTTTATAGCCTACATGCGTTTGTTTACGTTCTGGCTTCTCCCGCTGTTGTAGACTTTTATGTGAGCCAAACAAAGCATTTACTTACACAATGATTTTGGAGGTGGGACTATGGAACGATATTCCGGACAATTTTCAAATAGAATAGCAAATTGTATTTTCAATTGCGTTTTCAATATGTGGACGCATAAATTGTGACAATCCAAATGCAATTGCAAATCCTGCATTACCGTTTGCATTTTCGCTTTTGCCAACGCACAGTGACTGCCAAATTTCAGATGAAAACCCAAAGTCCATTTGCAGCTGTATTTCCCATGTCTTAGGAGTTACGAGCCTGTCATATTTAAATAGCAATATTAATTACCACGTCTGCTTTTTCAATCTCGCTGCGGCATTTGGATTATGTCACAATTTATGCGTCCACATATTGAAAACGCAATTGAAAATACAATTTGCTATTCTATTTGAAAATTGTCCGGAATATCCTTCCATAGGGGACGGTGGTTTGAGGCAAAAATACCACCAAATTGGACAAAAATGCCCTTGCACAATTAAACTAAATGTATTACGGCTGTCGCAAATAAAGTGATTGAAAATAAAATGAAAAGTCTAGATCGCGGCATTAAATTTATATCTGCTCATGCGGCATCAGATTTATTTTTACACGTTTTTTTCAGCGTTCAGCATTATAACCAATCACACACGATTCTGTTGAGTTTATGAATGCAATGGCCAATCAGAGGCGTTCAGATTATACATCGCTGTTTCCACTCCTCCGACAAACGTGCTTTACAATAAGATATAACAGTACAACAAATACCATCAAGATTAAGAAAACGCCATACGATAAAAGTGAGTCTTAAAGGGGTCATATGATGTTGCTAAAAAGAACATTAATCAGTTTGGGTTGCTTATACTACTACCCTCACTGTCTGAGGCATCCATATGTGCAGTTTAAAATATTGTTGTGGTTATGTTTGTTTATTATTTACAGAATTCTCATGAATCATAATTAAGCATAAATAGGAAAGTCACTGACTGCCTAACATTAAGCCCACATAGTGGAAAATATATAGCGTAACAGTGCACACTGACAATAACCATAGTTTATAAAAGTATCAGGTAATAGTAACAATCATTTTCATAATAATAAATACATTAGAAAACAGAAATATTCACTTTCATACAACATATTTAATTCCTAAAGCCATAAACAATTGCAGTATTAGCAGCTAAACCCTTGTGGTCCCAGGATACATGAACATGATTCACACTAAAACTGTATGCATTATTATTCATATTTAATATTTAATAATTATTTTACCTCCACACACAAGTAAAAATCTCCTAAATTTTAGATACGTTCTATAATTACATAATTGCTCCCAAATGTGTTAGATATTGTTTTATTTATTTTGGTTTCATAGCTGTCATGAATCTTGACCGAATATTTATTCATTTTGTTTATCGTTTTTCTCTGATTCTCTTTTTTAATTCACTTAATAATTTAGGATCCACTTAAGAATCAGTGACAGATTTAGTGAGTCTCTACAACAATTCAAATGATCATGAATTCCATACGTGTTAGTTAGTTATTTAAAGGAATCCACTCATAATAGTCATTTGTTCAGGGTTTGCTGTTGGTTTGTCGTTATGTGCATTCAGCAAGGACAACGCAATAGAAATTCTGAGACATCCAGTCCTTTCGCTCTCCTGACATTCAATTCATACTGCAATCTGCAGCTCAAACAAAACATTTCTTTTGCAGCGCTGTAGCTTGAGCAGCAGCAACATAGGAAAAACAGTCTGAATATTTTAAAATTGTGTTCTGCATCAGCAGAAAAAAAATGTACTTACAAACGGTTAACCAATAAGTACAAAAGTGAAAAATGAATATGTATTCTAATGAAACATCTGATGATCATACTATCATATACAGAACTTTAATACCTCATTTATACTGCATCATGAAGAAAATTCAGTATTTTAAAATGCCCAGTTGATGTTTTCAAACCTACATTCAGATAAAATTAAGGAAAACCGATTTAAAGGTCTTTATGCTGTGTGTACTGTTTTAAAAAAAACATTGTTTAGTGGAACTAGACCTTGTACAATGACATGTTGATAACACTAGTGGCCTTGAAAAGTTAAGACAAAAAATAAATTTGCCGGCAACAACGGCGTGGTGTGATGTGTGCAACCCTTGCCTTGACACGCACATAACAAAAATCCACAAAGATCCATCTTCACAAACATTATCTGCCACCTTCTCTCCTGAATCAGAAACCTCATGGCAATAGCAGATCTCTTGGCATGAAAAAGTACGCTCCTCCAGCTGTTCATTGTGCAGACTCCTCACGAAGGCGGCTTTCATAGAGGTTCAAGGCATGATGCACAAATTCATATTGTTCCTCAGTCTGGATCATACCACCCCTGTGGAAAAAGACACCACATGATTACAGTCAAGCCTTGCCACAATCACAATAAAAGACACAATTTTATGAAAGTCTTTTTTGCTTTTTTGTTGTTGTTTTAGCTACTGAAAGAAAAAGGTGTTTTATGGGATTTTCTTCCAAAACAGTGAATCTACAGATTTGATGTTAAATATCATTTTATGTAGCCTTTTAATCTTTCTGGAAATCACACATCATGATTGAGTTTGCATGCACATCATTTACTTATTCAGGTCCAAAGTCTGCCACAAGCGGCAACCTCCCGCTCTCTCTCCTGAAGCCAACACGGAAGTGACTTAAACTGTAATTCTTCAACTGGCCGCTAGAGGCTGGCTGCAAAAGGGAGTCAATCCCATAGACTCCCCATGTTAAAATGCCCAACTTTACAGTAGAAAAAAACATGTTTACAGCCTGGTTCAAAAAATGATTTTGGTCTATATAGCTAATTTTGCCCTTCAAGACAACTGTGAGGGGGCTGAATTTTTTTTATAACTCATCCGTTTAAATTATATTAAGCCTTACAGTTCAGCATAATTAAGGGCGTGGCCACTTGAGTGACAGGTGGATTGCCGCTGCTGACACTGCCGTCGAGCTAGGTGGGCGTGGTTTCAGCAACCAGCTCCCGCCTCTTTGCCCATTTTCGATTATGCAAGGTGACCGCTGCCAAGATGGCGACGGCCGGCTCCGCCTACTTTAGGCTTCAAAAACGCTCTTCGGAAACCTACGGGTGACGTCACGGACACTACGTCCATATTTTTATACAGTCTATGGTCTGCAAAATCCTTTTTTCCAAAAGCAAATTAACATGTTGGAATATGTTGAAAATGTTGCTGTTGGATTATTCCTGTTGGACTTTTGTTATACCATTCAAGATTTTTGTATGACATTCAATTTCTGCATTTAGTCGCAAGTGTGGGTGAAATGCTTGCACTGTCGAGCCCTGTACAGTACATGCATGTATCTGTGCACTTGAGCCTTATCCATGGTCTTGTGGGGGTACTTGCTTTTTAAATTTTACTTCTTAATCTCTGTGGCTTGGTTGCCTAGTGTGTGCTCATTTGTTCGGGGTGATTTCTGGGTGAACTATCCTAGTACCTTGAGTAGTTCGTTTCAAGCATTTGCATTTTCTTTATATCAAAACAGTGAACCAGTTGTACCTGTCTGTTCTAAGTTGGCACACAATTCGCAGCACATCCACAACTCCCTCCAGCTCCAACTGACGACAGCCGATTGTTGTAGCAATGAAACACCCTGTCCGACCAATTCCAGCACTACAAAAGTTCAAGTTAAATGGTTTATAATTGCTTTTATGTATGTATTGTAACTGAATTACGACTGTTTCTTTGGTCACACTTTAGTTTGGGGACCAATTTGTACTATTAACTAATTACAACGTTTGCCTCAATAAACTCCTAAATTAATAGGTAGTAAGGTAGTTGTTACGTTTAGGTATTTGGTGGGATTCAGCGATCTAAAAGATGGTCATGCAGAATAAGGCATTAACATATGCTTTATAAGTACTAATAAACAGCCAATATACTAGTAATATGAATACTAATAAGCAATTAGTTAATAGTGAGAATTGGTCCCTTAACTAAAGTGTTACCAGTTTTTTTTTACTATATAAAACGGGCGATACTGTGTATACTGTGCAACAGTAGAAATGTGTTAACCGGTAGACACTTTGTAATGTTTTGCTGGTAAGCTTCTGTACCTGCAATGTACAATAACTGGCCCACCGGATGTAAAGCCCCTCCTGTCCTCCTCAACATCATTCACTAACTGCAGCAGGGTTCCTGCGCTCTCTGGGGTCTTATGGTCTGGCCATGAAGTATACCAGTAGTGCTGTACTTTACGACTCTGTGCTCCTTGCTGAGGGTACAAAAACATATGCTCCATTAGAGTATCTGACAATTATATTTCTCTTGGATTAACCGCTTCCACTTGTATTAGTCACTTTGGATAAAAGTGTCTGCCAAAATATATAAATATTCATGTATGCTAAAAGAAATAATTCACAAGACAAAGATTATCAATGAATAGCAACCTTCCTTTAGGCAAATAAATACTGCATCCTTGAGCAAAACTTGCCACATACTCAGATTACAGCATTGCTATTTTTCAATCATTCTTCCATAGAGTGTTTATCTTATAATGCAAATACCTTTAGTATAAGGGTGCGGATTATATAGTGGTCACATTCCTTCACATTATTAACAAAGACCTCCACCCTTCCATAGATCCCCCTCTTCTCAGGCCAGTACAGAACACATTTCTGAAAAAGTCAAACAAATCTTTGCACATGCACGGTCTATTTAGTTATACTAAGAAAATTATAGACATTTTTATTGAAAATTACTTCATTTTTCTCTTTCAGTTTAGTAATCATGACGATGACAGAGCAGTCCTCTTGCCAGACCATTTGCCAGAAGTCGTTCACGGTGTTGATGATTGGACCTTGAGTGGCAATGAAGGCTCTCTCATCTCTAAGATAGCCCTGAAGAGAAGAAGTGCTGAACTTAAACAGATTTCATGACATAACAGAGCATAACTGTAAGTATAAAGCACCAGCAGAGCCAATTTAGATCAGCAAGACTCTCTTGGATAATTCTGAGATCAAACTAAACTCTCCTGTTATAATGATTCACTTTACAAGCTCTGATGGTAGTAGATTTAAGTTATCTCTTGAAGGACATCAAGTGGCTCTTTGTCGTGGGCTATTGAAGAAATTGTGAGGCACAGAAAATTGAACTTACTCGAATGTAGTTGGCATTAATGTAACTGCTGAGCAGGTCGTTTGAGTTCTTAGTCTTCAGAATAACCCTGGAATGTGGATCTGAAATTAAATGTGAATTTTGTGAACATTTCTGTAGCTTTCTATTCAGTTCATCATTATACACAACACAAGGAAATTTAAAAAGCAAACAAACATTTTCAACACAGCACAAAAAAAGTCACAACACAAACGAAACGAGCCACAAGACAACAAAAACAAGTCACAACACACCAGAATCACGCTAAAACACAACAAAATCAGGCCATAATACAGTGACATCCTTCTGGACAAACTAAATAGTGCAAGAAAATATGCACTCTCTATTGTGGCTGATAAATGGCACCATGGTGCAATATAATATGTGTATTATCCCACATGGGAATTTCAAGTGTTCAGAAAAACAAGATTGGTACAGTAAAAACTGTTCAAAATTTGATTTTTGTTACACCGTTAGACAATGTATGATGCCAGTAGAATCAGTGAACCCCAAAATTTAAAACTGATTTAAACTAACTGGCTCATTCAAATGTAATAATTAATATATGTTCAAGTGTTCATAAAAAAAAAAAAGATTGGTAGAATAAAAAAAAAACTAGGTTTTGATGGATCTAACATACTCTTACAGAGAAATTACTTAACAGCGCTTACTTCAACAGTGTTACTTAAGGAAGCGTCACGTTATTTTAAGGGGAGCTACTTAACAATGGTCCATATAGTTATGAGGGATCCCTGAGAAATATACTGCTGTTAATATACTGCAATGGAATAGTTCACTCGCTTACCCCTAAACCCTTAGCTTTTTTCAATTTTATTCTGTGATGACTAAGTGAACTTAAAATTAGTTTACCTAATGCCTTATACCTTAATGCCTATATTACAATATTCAAACTGAGAAGCTGAGAATTCTTGAGATTTTTTGGTCAACAGTACACCATAATAATAGTTTCCAATACAGGATTGTGTCACAGATCTAGAAAACAGGACTAAACTTAGCTGCACAGACAGTCTCTATTTCTGTCAAACGGACTGCGTTTTTGGCGATATTGAGTGCACAATGTTCCTTTCACCATATAGAATACAGTTAATGTGTGAAAAAACTAACAATCTCAGCTGCACTGTTAGAACTTGACAGGTTTGTTTTTTTTACAGTAAAATATTGTTCCCCGATATTACAGCAAAACACTGGCTGTTTTACAGTTATTTACCCCGGAAATTACAGCAAGGTTAACAGTGTGTAGCTTTAGCGTTATTTATAGTGTAGTAGAGGGTGGCGAGCTTCAGATTCTAGAGAGTATCTAAATGGACAGAAAATCATATGAAAATCTTAAGTGCAGACTGATAAAAATAGTTGGAAAATAAGTGACAAATAATCTCTTTTACTGACCAGTTCGTACGATTTAAATAAAAATACACAAACAATCATACACACCACCCCTTTCAATTGGGTCGAAATGTCATTCTGATCGAGTTTGGTTGGATTGACCAATGGGTTTACGTGAACGCTTTTTAGTCCAATTGAGCAATCAATCTGATTATTAACTAATTATTTGGTTGCATGTAAATGTAGCAGTATTGTAGTAGTCGGTACCAATACCAATAAGAATCTTACGTAAACCAGTAAAAGTTTCATGGTTCTCTGTACCATATTAAAAGCTCCTATCATAATCAAAACAGCTGTCTAAAAATAAATCTCTTAGTTACACTGTGTTTATACTTTGTAAGCATACAAAACTTGTATTGATTCATTGATACTGACTTAAACACCTCTGATTGGCCATTGCGTTCACATGCTCAACAGACATGTCTGTGATTATGAACATTCGACACACTTCAAAGAGCATGCACAAAAATGGGTATAGGATTTGAAAGCAGTGCCTATCAGCACCTATCGTTAAGCTTGTTGCTGAATATACTCGACAAAGCTGCCTTTCTGTGACACTGACATGGTAATAAAAAAGATAAACACTTAGCTCAAAGTGAAATGACATACAATTAAATGCTATTCAGTGGAAATTCTGATACTAACTTGGCAAAATGGTCTTGTATCTATTTTTTGATCCATGATTTGGGATATCCAGTTCCTTCTGGTCCACAAAGTTCATTGGGATTTCCTGCGAATAAAGAAGTTACACACTCTGAGCTAAGTACAATGGAAATTGCCAAATTGTCATAACATAAGCACTGAAAGATCTCCCACATCATTAAAATACACCTTAACTGAACCCAACTGTCTGTGATTTCCATGATTAAGTAAAGCCAAGCTGAACGACATTAATGCTAAACTTAGTTCTGTCATGACAACTCTCGGAGGGATTGGCATGGTAATGTACATGACAATGTTAATGTGTTTGGTCTTGGCGGAATAGATCTGCTACGCTGCTGCTGCGGCAGAGCAAATACCGAGACTTGCTACTGCCAATACATCCACAACATGCTGCTGTGAGCATGTACGAAATATTGCTGCTGCAAATATAACATACATGAAATAACTTCCATATAGCATACATTAATCACCTCGTAGCAGATCTATACAGGTGGAGCTGGGGAAGGTGGAGGGTTTCTGAAGCAAGCTGCACTGCTACGGCAAGCACTAATCATATATTTGAATGTTGAGCAGCGAGCTCATTGGCTACCGATACAGGAGAGAACCAATCAGCTGTGATCATGATGTCATTAGGTCAGATTGAGTTAGACCTATCGGACTGTGCCATCTAGAGTTTCATGCCAGAACTCTGTATTTATTAGTGGTGCACTGGTGTGTTACTTACGGCAAACTCTGCATGCAGCATCTGTGTGTTCAGTGTGATGTCACGAAGCTGTTGCCGTGAGAGGACCCGACTGGCTGACTGCAGGTATTCCTGAGTTGCACGCTCACGTGGGGTCACAACCCCACTACTCAAAGGCTCCACTGAACCCAAAGCGCTCATATCCAGCACCAGTGAGACATTAGATCCACGTCTGCATGAGACACAGCGATATGACAAAAATATGTGAAGAAAAATAACAAAACAGTCAGATAAGTGTGATAGAACAAATCTACCTTTACTTTCACATACTGGCATTAGAAATTCAAATAAATTCAAAACAATTTCAAAGAAATTCAAAATGGGGGACAAGAAGTCCAGCCAACATGACTACAGGTCAAATTTGAAATTTCATTATCATTTTTTTACCACAAACGTCTAGGGTATCCCCATGGTGCCAATGACACATACCAGGTTTTGTAATGATATGTTAACATGTCTGTAAAATATAGTATTTTTCTACAAAAGTTAAAATGGCCTTAGAATAAAATAGCTGCCATGAAAAAAGGAGGTAGTAATCAACTCTGTATGCCACACTAAATCTAACAAGTTTAAGAATTTAAAAGCAAAAAAAGTAATTTTTCATATTTCTTGACCTACAGTTGGCACTGTCCTAAAACTGTGCAAGTACCCTCAGGTTATGCTTATCATGACACGTACCAGGTTTGGTTTCAATACGGCCAAGCACTATGGAGATTTTGAAGCACTGAAAGTCACATTCAATCACGCATTATTTGAGAACGGTTTGACTAATCAACTTGAATTTCATACATTTTTTGTGGGGATGTTCTGAAGATGAATTGGCTGAACAGAAACATTTTATGATGGAAAATGAAGTCATAGAGACGGGTTTCTCATCTCTGGCCCTCGAGATCCATTTTCCTGCAGAGTTTAGCTCTAACCCTGATCAAACAAGGTCTTCAGGATTATTAGAGAGTTACAGGTAGGCAAGTTTGATTATGGTTGGAGCTAAACTCTGCAGGAAAGTGGATTTCGAGGGCCAGAGTTAAAAACCCCTATCATAGAGTGTATTTGGCTTGGTTATGCCATTAAAATCTAGTTGCTTGATAAGCTAAGATCTCTAAAGACTCGTATTCCATTCTGCACATTTGCGTGCAGTTATGCCACACAAGAATCAATGATGTTTGGCAAAAACAGAATTAAACCTCTCGCAATGTCGCCTTGACAAAAGCAGATTCTTCTAAAAGTCTCCTTTATAAAAGGAGTTTACATAAAAATAACAGCATGCGAATTTGCAACTGTGAGAGTGCGTAAATAATGACATTATTCTTTTTTAATTAACTATTCCTTTAAAGGGGTCCTTGTGACGAGTGGGGGCGGGGCCGAGAGCCATGGGAACGGAGTGAGGCCGGTGGAGTAATTGATAATGAGCGACACCTGCACCACTCACCGGTCTCGAGTCTCACGGAGGAGCTCCGGAAGGATAAAAAGGAGGAGTGACGACAGTGAAAAAGGAGAAAGGACCAGGCCTGGAGTTTATTTTGTGTTTTGTGTGCGGCAGTCGTCCGCGAGGGGCTGCCGCTTTACTTTTATTTTGTGTTTGTTTGATTAAAGTTTTGTTTCAATGTTCGCCGGTTCCCGCCTCCTTCTTCCCGACCTACGAACTGTGTTACAGTCCTATTATGCTTTTTACGCTTTTAACTTCCTTTAGTGTGAAATGTTGCTGTTTGAGCTTGGGAGTTATTCTCTATGTATCAGTCAGCACTGTTTCTGAACAAATTATATTACGTCTTCTAAAAAGGGCATAATTCCTTTAAATCAAAAGTCTTTCATGCACAAATGAAGTCTTACCGCTCCTGCAGGCCTGCAACAGGTTTCATCCTAAAGGGTGAATGTGTGGAGGACACAGTGGGTTTGAGCTCAGCCACAGGGTGGCTGGGTGGGCACTGCGGCTCTGACGTCGTCATGCTGGAATGAGTCTGATGGATGCTGATGTTACAGGATGGGGCGCTTGTGCTGCTGGTAGAATGGGTGGCACTGGGTTTGGACGTCTGGTTGGCCTGGACCATACTGTTCTTGAGGGTCAGAGGGGGCTGAGCACCATGAACAGGGATGGGTGCCAGCTGCACGTCCCGGCTGGGCGGGGATGGGTCTTTAAGCTGATGATCCAAGAATTCCTTCTCCTTTAGTCGGTAAAGCACCTGAGGAAAGGAAATATTACTTTATAACAGTCTATTACTCACAGCTAGTTTTAGGTTAAATTTTAGGTAAGTCACCCTATAACCGAAAAGAAATTCTATTTTACATATAGAAAATTATCAAACAATTTTTATAAATACCATGAATAATGATTGTAATTTTTTTTTATTAATTTCAGCATAAAAGTAGTACATATATATACTACCATGATATAGAAATGCATACCATACTAATATATCATAAACCCACTGTATATATATATATATATATATATATATATATAATGCATACAAGAAACTTTGTATATGGGCCATTCTTCAGAATTGGTTAAAAACGTCTTTTTCTACAAATTTATTGTATGTATGCAAATTGTATAATATCCAAAGTACACATTTCTAGTAATTGCACAGTTAATTCTCATGTTGTATTTTCAGAAAGTTTTGGAATATTTGTCCTCTCCCCAAATTTGTCACTACCGAAACACAGTAATAAGAATTTAATTAGAAGGATTACAGTATATTGACAGTATATTGACCTATTAAGATTTTGCTACCTATTAATATTTTGATATCTACATTGTATATATATTTTTTTTTGCTATTTTATAAAAAAATTTAGAGGTAAATAAATCACAATTACATTTTAACAATATTTCAAGTGTAATTTATTAGATTTGTTGTATTTTTAATCCAATTTTTCTTTGTAAAAGGCAAAAAGTTTATCATATTGATTTCTAAGTTAAGGATTCATAACACTATCATAACATCTTGATAATTCAGTATACTTTATTTTTGACAAAACATCCCATGTTTCATTAGTGACTGCACATTTTCGGTAGTGACAGTAATGCTTTGCTAGCGATCGAGATCACATTACAGAATTTTAACTTGCATTCTCTAAAACACTACTAAAACATACTAAAATACAAACAAAAAAAATGCGTAACTGTACTAAAAAAAAAAATTTTCCCCAAATATGAGGATTGTGTGTTCCCTTTTGTCACAATGACGACATGTTTCGGTAGTGACAATTTTATGGGATAACACCCAAAAAACCAAAGATGTCTACCAAAACTTAGCCAAATGTTTCGGTAGTGACAATTTTAGATACTTTTGATAGCATCTCAAAGATGCTAATCAGCACATGGTTAGCTAGCACAGTTCTGAACAGTTGTACATACATAAAAATTAAATGATATGGAAAAACTCCCAAAAAAGTGCAGAAAAAAGGTGTTCGGTAGTGACGTTCCTTAGAGTTACACAGATTTTTCAGACTTTTGAACACATTTACCTCAAAATGATGGGGCCTATCTACTCACCCTGTAGCTATGAGAGAGAGAGACACATAAATACTTCCTGATCATAAATGTAGGGGTGTAGTTAATTTCACTCTCAGCCAATGAACTAAAACATACACTGTTTCGGTAGTGACATGAAAATGCGGGACACATTTTTTTTACATCAACTTTAATAATTTACAAAGAAAATATAAAATAAATATATATTTTTTTGAACTTCACTTTTTAAAAGAATAAAAAATATATTTTTAAAAACAATAATGGAAAAAAATACAAAAATTATTTCAATATAATTTTCATAAGTTGAAATTTAAGGGTTAGGGTTCGGGACAGCCACCTCCCAATTGAAAGTACCCAATAAATGATGATTTTACATATATTAAGATTACTAATATTTTAAATATTATTGTGGGTTTCAATAGAGAATAGAAGGATCTTAGTAAACATCTAAGATTTGAATACTTAAATGCTTTTTAAATGTGTTTTTGGTTGTGGGACAGCAGTGTGCACCAGTTATTACTCATAATTATATATATATATATATATATATATATATATATTATATAACAAGATTAATCTTCTATCAGATTCACGTCAGCCTGTTTATACAGTAGATAAAGTTTCCTGTAATGCAGAGTTGACTGTTAAGATCTCACAGGACATTTCTTCGCACTACATGAACTACACAATACTTCCTCATCACTACATGCCTCTAAATATTTCTCCACTAACCTCAACCGTCTTATTGCTGTTACTCACATTACTGCTGTTAATCATATTCAACTGCTTATCCGTCTATTTTATGCCCATGCAAATCATTCATTCCATGTACAAGACATGGACGCTTTATTAAGGTAAAACAAGGCAATGACTAAAATAATAATACAACAATAATACAGTTACTCAGCTTTTACTATTTACGAGAAGTTGCAGAAAATGATGACAATTAACTGGGAGTTTTCTGACTTCAAATGACTAAACTTAGATTTACTAAACCCACTTATTTAATGAATTGATTGACAGTCTCTTAAACTGAACACTTTCAGTCAGTTTCAAATCTTGTTAAAAAATTAAATGAGCTATTATAATCTTCACTACACTCTGCGTCACATAAAAACATGCAGTCCATGATTAAAACTAATACAACATTGCTTTGAGGGTCATAATTTAATCTACATAATTCAAAGTCAGCTTCTTTATCATAGGTATGTAGTCTACAAAGAAACCAGTCCATGTAAAACCATGGTATCTAGTCTGAAAAGCCTTTTACATCTATTTTAACAACACAACTGCATCAGTAATTATATGAACATGCTTTTCTGGCCTGAAAATAAATGTGCTCACAACTGCATCCAGGAATTCCCAAGTTTCCCACAAGAGGTCTCTATCTCATCGCAATGAGCCGTGTTGTATGGTTTCAGTGCATCCTTAGGCCTGACTTCAAACGAATGAAATTCAACTTTGTAAAACAACAATTCATTTTCGTCATTGGCCCTTAATGTGGTTTTGGATTGTGTAATGACACTTGCGAATGCAGGTGGTAGCTCTACAAGGGCAAAAAGCAGTTTTCACAAGTCTCTCGATTCATGATTGACACCTACTTACATCATAAAGTAGCACTTAGGTGTATATGACTTTCTTCTTTCAGACGAATCCAGTTGGAGTTATATAAAAAATTGTCTTTGATCTTTCAAGCTGTTTAATGCCACTCAGCGGGTGTTGCATGCATCAGTCCAAAAGAAGTTAAATAAAAAGCACCCATCCACAAAAAAAAGTGCCTCACACGGCTCCGGGGAACAAAGGCCTCCTGTAGCGAATCGATGCGTTTTTGTAAGAAAAATATCCATATTCAAAACGTAATAATCCCTTTAATCTAGCTTGCGCCAACAGTTGTACACGGAAGCAGCTCCGGGCTGATGACGTATGAGTTCAGCGTTGCGCATGCGCCGGTGAGTCTCGTGAAAACCAACGTTTGTTTACAGGAGCAAAGGAAGCAAAGTTTCCTTACTTTAGCAAAGGAAAACCAGTCTCCTCTTGGCTTATATCGAAATCCTCTGACATTCTTCTTTACAAATCCTTGTTTTGTACTTCTAATAAGTGACCGTTGTTTTGTTTTGATATCTCCCCTGCGCTTCCGCGTTCGTCACTTCTGAGCGGCGCATGCGCAAAGCTGACCTCATTATACACCTAGGATGACTTGAGGGTGAGTAATTTATGTGCTAATTTTCATTTTTGGGTGAACTAACCCTTTAATAATATTATAATAATAACTTAATATCACTTAATAAATACTGCTGTTTAATGCAGAGTCCTTGTTAATGTACATTGAAATAGTTAGAAATGTCACGAAATGTCATATATTTGAATGATTTGTTTAGGAATATATAATTTTTGACCAATCAGTATCAAGTATTCTAGCGAGCCATGTAATAATGTTTTGTATTAATAACTTATTAGTCAGCATTACTATAAAGTGTTGCTTAACAATCAGAAACACAATACCACATGCCTTGTGCAACATAAAAACTTGCATTTTGCATTTTGTACATGCCATTATGTGTATACAATTAAATTATATATAAAAAAAATGCAAATGGTGTGTTAGAATTTACCAAATTTTATATTATTACTTTTTCATTCTGCTTTCTCTGAAATAATAAGATTAAATTTGATTTTATGTTCAATTTTATGTTTCTATTCAGTTCTACATATTTAGCAGTACTCTAATGCTGGTTAGGAAAAAAAGTAAATATTTTATCTCATAAATATATAAATGAAAACATATAATTGCCTTGCTAAGCAGTGTCCCTTGCAAGAGGATTATTATATTTGGTGGTCCGTGGCATTAACCCGTCCTGTCCTTGTATTTACAGAATCACAATGCTAATAATGCTTCAACAGTCCCTGTCATTGTGAGCGGCTCACAGCTTTACATGGTAATTATTCCTTAAGCTCTTCAGTCCATCAGCGCCAGAGAGTGAGGGTGCTCTATGATGTCATTACCGGACTTAAGACAGACTTAAACGTTAAGAGCAAACATCGACCAATCAGAGGGCAGAGTCAGGTGTGATCAAGATGGCACCGTTGATCCCTTTAAAGTGCTGAACCACCAGAGGAAACCATGTGACTTCCTCTGCCACAATACATCCGTTTTGCAATGACTCTTTCTGTATCGTATCCTGTGTCTCTGCATCTGTTCGGGTCTTTCTCACACTTACTCACTGTATAATACAACCCAAGTGTCTTCAGTGTGTGCAGACTTGAATGATCTGAGTTTTAATCTTAATAACCGTTAGTGTTTACTTCACAAGGGTTTCTGCTGAGACAAGCATTATACAGGAAGTATTTGAACTGGTACATGCAAATATATATTCAATATTCAAATCTGTAGGACAGCAAAATCATAAATGAGATCTCTTTAATATCTTATTCATTTCTCTAAGACGGCACTGAGATGAAATGGAGAGTAAATGGAGAGACAGTTATCGAACCGAATTTGAACCAATACTGAACTGACGTGAGTGAAATAATAGAGTTTAGAGCTGATTTACAGCAGAATTTGTCTCATATTTGAAGACGTATGCATCATCGATTGTTTTGTTTTATTCCTGTGAAGCTACTTTGAAAGGTTTGTATTGTATAAAGCCTATATAAATAAAGGTGACTTGACTTACCAAAGTTTCCTACTTCTCAGATGTTTTTCCTGAGAATTACTCCAGTAATCTCACATCAGAAGTCAGAGAACTCAATACAAACTAAATATTTCTCAGCAAATTCTGTCAAGAGTTGTCATTTCACGTGTTAATATCTCACTGTATGACAACTATCTACTCGTTTGAATCTATTTGTATTTCTATTAAGGAATTTTAGGAGAAACTTCGGAAACAATTGATAAATCAACAAAACATATTTGAGAACTTGGTTTCCTGAGTTAATAAAAAGTATTTCATTTATGCAAACTCAACACCAGGCACCGATATGCTTTTAGAGGGTCGTATCTTCCCACATAGCATCATATACTATGAAAATCAAGCATATGGTAGAAGACTCTGAGAGATACGTACCATTAAACAGGTGAAGACAATGATGAATATTGTGAGGCAGATAACCAGCACATAGAAGCCGTCTTTACCCCAAATGCTGTTCTTCTCATGGTGGTCTTTGAAAACAGTCTTCTGCTCAAAGCCAGACAGAAAAGAACATCAACAGTCTGAAGACCCAACAATGTCAAGCCTCATCTGATCTGCAGTGCAGGCGTGAAGTTTGAGAGCCCTAACATACATTTATACTGTGCTTGAGTAAAAGTGATACAAGGATCAACAAGTGCGATCTTAAGGAAGACATTTGTCATTTCACGTGTTAATATCTCACTGTATGACAACTATCTACTCGTTTGAATCTATTTGTATTTCTATTAAGGAATTTTAGGAGAAACTTCGGAAACAATTGATAAATCAACAAAACATATTTGAGAACTTGGTTTCCTGAGTTAATAAAAAGTATTTCATTTATGCAAACTCAACACCAGGCACCGATATGCTTTTAGAGGGTCGTATCTTCCCACATAGCATCATATACTATGAAAATCAAGCATATGGTAGAAGACTTTGAGAGATACATACCATTAAACAGGTGAAGACAATGATGAATATTGTGAGGCAGATAACCAGCACATAGAAGCCGTCTTTACCCCAAATGCTGTTCTTCTCATGGTGGTCTTTGAAAACAGTCTTCTGCTCAAAGCCAGACAGAAAAGAACATCAACAGTCTGAAGACCCAACAATGTCAAGCCTCATCTGATCTGCAGTGCAGGCGTGAAGTTTGAGAGCCCTAACATACATTTATACTGTGCTTGAGTAAAAGTGATACAAGGATCAACGAGTGCGATCTTAAGGAAGACATTGACATTGGGCTAGACAGAAGCTGACTCCACCCCTAAAGCTGCCCACACACACACACACACACACACACTGGATGACACATCCTGCAACACAAATGCACCTGTACTTGGGTAGTTGACAGCAGGGTCTTGTAAGGTGATGTGCTATATTCAGTTTAATCATATTTGAAACATTATCTTTCTTGTTATTTCACTATTATTAATCAAGAGACTACATGACATAATTGTACTTAAAAATTCACTTGTGTCATACTGCAAAAAAAGCTAAAAAAATTTGTAGCAAAACACTACAATAATTATATAATAAACAATTTATATAATGAGTAATTTCCATTAAATAAAGACAATAATTTATTACAAAACATCATCGGCACCAAAGAGGATGTGCTATATGATTTATTATCATGTGTTAAAATGCATTATACCTTTTATATAAAAAAAACAGCTTCTCCAAATGAGAAGTAAACTTTGTGTCAGTGTTATTTTTGTCAGACTCTGTTCCATGTTTTGTGTGTGTCCTGCTCCCCATGTGCCTTCCCATGCCCTTATTTGGTTAGTTTCCTGTTCCTGTCCTGATTAGTTTATTTCATTTGTCCCAGGTGTTTCCCTTGGTTTTATTGCTCCCAGGTGTGTCTCGTCATCCCCTCCTCCTGTGTGTGTGTATAAAATGTGTTCCCAGTCCCAAGTTCTCTGTCCGCTGTTGTACGTCTTCCTGTGTTCGTCTCCCTTGGTTCCTTGGTGCAAATAAAGTCTTGTCAACATATTCTCCAGCGTCTCCTCGTCCCTCGTGTGTGTGCAACGTGACAGAACAGCTGACCGAACAGTAATCGGCATCCCTTCCCCGTGTTTGATTTCCGGTTTTTGTAAGTTTTTGTTTTTTATGTCAGACTCTGTTCCATGTTTTGTGTGTGTCCTGCTCCCCATGTGCCTTCCCATGCCCTTATTTGGTTAGTGTCCTGTTCCTGTCCTGATTAGTTTTTAATTTGTCCCAGGTGTTTCCCTTGGTTTTATTGCTCCCAGGTGTGTCTCGTCATCCCCTCCTCCTGTGTGTGTGTATAAAATGTGTTCCCAGTCCCAAGTTCTCTGTCCGCTGTTGTACGTCTTCCTGTGTTCGTCTCCCTTGGTTCCTTGGTGCAAATAAAGTCTTGTCAACATATTCTCCAGCGTCTCCTCGTCCCTCGTGTGTGTGTGTGTGCAACGTGACAATTTTAGTATAATTGATATACTATTTTAGTTTTTGTTAATATTTCTAGAATATATTAGATTTCATTTTTATATTTTCTGCTTTCACTTAAAGTTTCAGTTAAAAGTTTTCAAATTTTGTTGTTTTTGTTATTTTTATTTTTATTCGTTTTTAAATGTCTATAGTTTTCATTACTTGTATTTATGAGTTTTAGTTCATTTAGTTTTAGTTTCTTTAGTACTTCAAGTTAAAGTAAACAAAAACGAGAAATTATGCCTTGGAAAATAACTCAAATATATTATTTCAGTTAATGTTTAATTATTTTATTCTTTTTTTTAATTTTAATTAACCATAATAATCCTGCTTTGCATGCATTGAAGTGCATGTCAATAGAAAATTAAATTAGAATAAAAATGATGACACAATTGTCATTTTTAGGTGAACTATTCCTGTATTGTATTATTATTATCCCTTATATTTTTGCATTTAAAAAAGATTTCATATTTTGTTACGCTTTTTTACAGGATGTAAATGTATTTCAAAAACATTAGACTCAGACAACACTGCTTACGGCGACCAAAGGAAGCACAAATATGGTGCAAGCTGACAATGGCTCTCACTACGGCCCACTGATGCAAATCGGATAGGTTTGCCAGAAAAGGTCAATATGTAGGAGGCAGGACTGTTACTCTGCTACCATTTTTAGTCACCTACTGCTATGCAACGCAACAACTGTACCTTCTGCAGTTTAGCAGCAGACTGTAACTTCATCCTAGAGTTCTTGAGACACAAACCTCAGTGGATGCCTCAGTGGTGGCAAGCGGCCCAGAGCTGTGGTGAAGGGTGTTGATGTTGAGCAATCGGATCATTTCCTCATGGGCCACGGGTTCTGATGCTCCAACAGACGACACATACAGCTCGATGTCATCATTCTCCTCCTAAAACCATGAAGAATGGTGCATGAAGAATATCCTTTACAATTAAACAAATAGACAAGTCAACTTAACTGTTTTAAATGAGCAGTTTTAACTGTTGTATGAACTTTCAATTCTGGGTTTTCTTGAAAAATAACAAAAATATATTTTACACAATCATTTATTTTGGTTCTAATGTTTCAAATATCTTGTAACATTTAATTATATGTATTTACATTTACATGTAATCGTTTAGCAGATGCTTTTATCCAAAGCGACAGGGGCAATCTAACCAACAAAGAGCAACAATATATAAGTGTCCAACAGCCACACCCGCAGGTAAAGTTACAGCGGAGGCTTGCCTCCCTTCGGTCCATTGACTTTCTACAGAGACCCCTTAGTGTGCTGTGCCTTTTCTGGAGGCTCATTGAGAATGAATGGGGGAAAGTCACGTGAGAGGAGGCAATGCCTCCATCGCGCAATAATTGGATATGATCGGTTATGATTGGATGTGATTGGTTCGTGTGATAAATCCCACCTCTTGTTTTCGTGCGAGCTCTCGGTCTGAATGAAGAAAATTATACATAGTAAATGAAGAAAATGAAAAAAGAAATGAAGAAAAGTACATAGAATAGAAACAGAGAGAGTATTAGAGGGTCAAGTTATTATTTTTTATAATAAATAAAAACAAGTAAAATGGAGAACGCTAGTGTTAGAGGGTCACATTTTATTTTGTAATAAATAAAAGGAAAAGTAGATAGAATAGAAATAGAATACAATAAAATAAAATAGAGTGTTAGTGTTACAGGGTCAAGTGTGATATATATATTGTAATGTATATCAAGTGTGTGATATATATATATATATATATATACAGTGCCTTGCGAATGTATTCATACCCCTTAATTTTTTTCGTATTTTGTTTTGTTGCTGCCTTATGTTAAACTGTTTTAAATTAGTTTTTTTCCACAACAATCTACACTCCATACACCATAATTGTCAAGCAAAAAAACAGGTTTTTAACATCTTTGCAAATTTATTAAAAATAAAAAACTAAAATGATTCCATTGCATAAGTATTCATACCCTTATCTGGGACAGTTGAAATTTAGCTCAGGAGCATTCATTTTGCTTGTAGATGTTACTACACTTATAGTGAAGTTAACCTGTGGCAAATTCAGTTGAATGGGTATGATTTGGAAAGGCACACACGTCTTAATAAAAGGTCTAACAGCTGATAATGCATATCAGAGAAAAAACCAAGCCCTGAGGTCAAAAGAACTGC